GTTAAACATTAGTTAATGAATAATGTATTGTATTGATCATTTAATAAAATCAGTAACAACTATCTGAGTGATTTTTCTTTAATAAAATTTTTTTGAAAATTTAACATTTTAAGAAGTGAACTTTACTCATTGAAAGAAAATAGAATATTACTATGCAATATACAAATGATGAATAGTTAATAATTTTAATTCCCCCCCCCCCCGCCCACCTCCTTCCCTCGCTCCCTTCAAATACTTTCTTTGTTCTATTCACTTAATTTACTCATACTCATAAATAACATAAACTAGCAAAAACTTTTCTTTTTTAAAGAAGGAAAACACGATACTACTTATTTATTTATTCATTCAAAAGTTCTAATGAATTATGGGTTTATCTGTAAATTCGTTGTTTTAACTAGTGTTATTTCGCGCTACTTCCTTTTTTTTTTACAATATATATGTCTCACCAGTGATTGACATGACAATGAAAATGAGAACGATTGTGTACAATAGTAATGGTAACTTATTCAGATTACCAACAACAACAACAACAACAACAACAAAATTGTTGAGAAATAATTGAAATTCTCAATCATTAATCAATTAATTGAAAAACAAATTTATGGTTTCGTCATATTTGTGAAAGTAGGATAGAATTTTAGATCTCTATAATGGTGGGGGATAAGAGTGGGTAATTCTAATAAAGAATAAACAAATAATACAACCCGGTTATTAAATTCTTACCATTCTCATAATTAATAAAAATTTTCAAAAAAGAAAATAGCGAACAGAATGAATCAGTTAGGTGATTAATTACTGAATTAGTAATAAAGTGAATCAAATAGTTAGAAGGTTCATTGAAATAAATTTCACATGTTAAAAAAATAGACATCACATTCCATCCGGTCGTGAACACACAACGATTTGAAAAGATGTGTATAAAGAATGGTCTTTCTAAAAAGAACACAACAATAATAGTAGTAGAAGGATGAATGAAAACAGAAAAGTCTAATGGTGATGATATTAACTAATCATATGGTGCTTCTCACATACATTGAGAACTAAATTCTCAATGATCGATTTCTACTCAAATTACTCACTGATGCGAATTTCTACGTTTGAACAACCCAGCTATGCAAAAGATGAAGTGTGAGAAAGAATGTCAAATTCTATCTAAGCGGTCTAGATGTATTCCACTCACTTTGCAAGATTTAAAGTTTCTGATTCTTACTGAATAAACGATTGTGGATTATCACCACTGATAAGTTCATATATAATATGTGCACGTCTCCTGGTTTTCATTATCTCTAAATGATGTTGGTTGACAAGGAGACATTTTCCTTAACTTACTAAAACCCATTTGTAAAATTAATAAATAAATTGTAAGCAAATGGATAAGAAAAAATTTTAAAACGTTTATAATGAACAGCAGTTTTGTCCTAATACAGTGTTCCTCAGACGTACGTATCAAACATTTAATTGCCCTCAAGTCCACTGAGTTATAAGACAACATTACAGCAGATCCAACTTCAATTAATTTATGTTTTAGTACGAAAATTATTCAATCCTACTGATAAACATTTTTTCGTTCCCTGGTATAATATGCATTTCTGAAGACTAATGCAATATGACTATTCAGTGCGTCCTAGCCGCGAACTCAGTTTAGAATTACTCTCTCAGTTATAGTAATTTTATCAATCTAAACTACTTTCAGATTAAAATGAGCCATTACAAACTTTTCAATAATAATAATAAGATTTTCTCAACAAAATTTTAAAAAAAGATACCATTTAGGCTTTGGATACCCCTGAGAGACGGTTGAAGTGTATTTCAATCAGAATACAATAAAATTGTTAGATGGCTTAGTAACATGTGTTTTCATCGATCAGGTATTTTCTCATATCTAAATCTTAGGTCATACAAAAAAATTAATGTCTCAAAGATGTCGAAAGAAATAGATTAAAATTGACTGAGAGTCGGAGAAATAGAGACATTCTCTATATTCATTATTTCTAGTAGTAATTATTGTTACACATATAAGTAAAGTAATTATTTTAAAAGAAACTAGCCAAAACTATGTTATACTGACTGAATGTAATCTGATTCGGTAATCCATTAATTTACTTGTTTTGTTCAACACAAAATGATAGAGACATACACACATATACCTCATGCAGACATCAATATAATTAATTAGATGTTTGAGTGAAACAATTCTACATTATTATCCACATATGTTAATAGATATACATATGCAAACCTGTATCTTATCATTTTAGACACACATAAACTAACATTAGTTGAAACTTTTATTAAATGAGAGTTTTGCTTAAAACAACTTTGAACACATAGCAACGACTTAGTTATGCTTATTTTCCAAAAAATCTATTTCGGTTGAAGGGGTCTCGTGGAGATCGGTTTTATTTGTAGATTGTGTTCAATGTAGACTGCTTTCAGTAAGAGCGCCATTGAAAACCAGGGGTCAGTGGACACCAATTTTTTCCTACTATACGACTTCCAAATGCAAGTGAACATACACGACCTTATGAGGTATCACATCTAGAAACTTCAGGTTCCACTTTGACCCCTGAGATTAATTTGTGATTAGTATAACTTACACAAATAACATTTACTTGTGAACCGTAGATTTTGGAAGGGTAAAAGTTTGAGTCACTCACTTATTCAAAAAATATTGTTTTTAACTTTATTTACTATAAACTAAATAAATAATGGTACAATTCGATTGATAGATTGTTTATCAAAGCGAAATTTTACTGAAATTAAGGACACTTTTCTAAATTTGATTTCCTAATTAATGTTGACATAATGAAAGACGTACATGTGGACCTGCCTATCATACTCGAATGGATGACTTGTAGATTCTAGCGTAAAGTAAAAAGTGAGTGATATTTATCTTTCATAATTTAAAAACTCTTATGGAAACACTTTATTGTAATCTCCACACTGTTTAACTTTTTTTGGTTTTCATCATCATTAAGTTACAATGATAATGTTAAACGTGTCAAACCGGTACTTCTTTCTATATAGATTGTGCATACCACCGAAATCAATTAACTCCTGATTTAATATATTTTGTTTACAGGATAGTTGCCAAAATACTATTTGATCAGTAGTTTATTGAATAATAGACGAGCTATTGAAGTGTAGGTATGTTAAAGTACGTGTTTTCTACGAACAGCTACATTGTATCGCCATCTCATAACTCTATCCTACTAACGTTTGAATGAATTCAACAATAAAAATTTTGTACGTGACAATTTCCCATGACATTTCTCTTTGCTATAAGAATAATGAGAAGATATTCACACTCGGATTAATGAGGTTATGTAGGAATATTATTTTAACAATAAGGTCTAGAAACTGTCTTAATAAACCTTAAAAAACTGATGAATTTTTTGGTTCACGACTTTTCACTAGTAGGCATTCAAAATCTTATAACAAATTGAACTCCGAGTATTTCGACCTCACAGTAAACACGACAACCTCAGGCTACTGAATTGATATTTAGTAGATCACATTCCCCTTTTCAGAGTTTCTCATCGATCTAATCCAAATACCTAACATCATTATATAATGCACACGATGTCAAGCCACTAAAAATTATAGCCACGTTGCAATTTGATCAATAGAATTCCAGCAGCACCTATCACCAGACAAACATGACATTGCTCACTGCTCAGTGATCAATCAATATAAGTAATTCAGAATAGCTAAGTGGTTATGTTGCAGACTGTTAAAGTGTATGAAGCCGATTTTAATCACACAGGAAAGATAAGTTCCCTCAAGTTTAAGGATATGCTCTTCTGAAAAGTGTCAACTAACATGAAATCTACATCAATAAGAGTTCTCCACTCACTGACTGCCTCAAACCACCTAGGAGTGTTGATATACAACTAGACGTATTGATATCTATGAAAAAATAATTGATTAATACGAGGGAATGAGAAACTAATCAAAACTATTTACATAGTGATTGAATATGACATAAAATGATGAAAATGTAAACGTAATTTTGTACTTAGTTATATGGTCAGAATAAACAAAAAATGATCATGTAAATGTTTTCGGACGTATGGAGATCAGAAATGTAGTTGCATAGATTTCTATAACCTAATTTCATAATTAAAAACAAGAAATCTAAAAGTCGCGGTTAAGTTGGATAAAATTTGATAGATAAGTTTAGAAGAACTATCTATGCAACAGTTAAGTGTGAAGTATTAGTTGAATGTACTGAAAATAACTACTACCTTTTTCACTTCTCTATTCTTTACTGAATTGTAAAGATTGATATTCATAAATATCATAATAAATCTGTCTAGTTTCATTCATAATATAGCCCCAACTATACAGGATTAGTAAGATTGATAAATTATTAAAATAGGAGGGTGGTGGAGATTGTAATGATTTTTTATTAGTTGATTTCATGAGTCGTCTTAGTATGGGACTGTTCGACAGTGCGAAAAAGCCGTGCAGTGCTTCCAAGTTTTCAATGGCGGTCTAGTTTACATCAACTGATGAATTCAATTATTAAAGAAATCGATAAATCTATAATGAATCATTAATATTTCTGTAATAATTTAAATCAATTAACTACTTAAGTTTAATCAACATAAGTAGTATAACACTTATATATATATTTTTAATTCTATTCAATATAATAATTTTATATAAAATATAATCTCACATGATTATTTCTATGCCAAAAAGAATAACAAAGTTTTATAGAGTATTATTAATACCTGGTAATTATTTATAAATATTTCATGATTATATAACAGTTTTTTTTGTTTTTTCTTTGTTCCGGAAGAATAATCATCCTAACAGCTCAACATGTTCATTGAGACTTTATTTTAAGCCAATTAAAATATGTAGATATTTTCTAAAGCTATTTAGTTGTTGTTTTATTTTTTTTTGTATTTTGAATCCATAGCTTTTAGTTAAAATAATAATAATAATAATAATAATACAATTAATCATCTGTACAATGTTTCAATTTATAGGTTGTGCCTTCGTTACATTTTGTCATAGACAATCAGCTTTAAAATGTCAAGATGCTTTACATGGTAAACAGACGTTGCCTGGGGTAAGTTTAGTAATAATTAATAATAATAATTATTATTATAATTAATACCCACTTACACACCTACACACACATACACACACAAATAATTTGAAATACGTTGTGAGGTAAACCAAAAAAAAAATAATAAGACACACATGTTTGGTAAGATGGGAAATTGATGTTTTCTTTAAATTTCATGAATGGATAAGGGGATAAATGTGCTCAGATAACTTATACAAATACATTAGGAGGGAATGATATTAATTCAAATGTAGCGTGAATGATTTGATTAAAATAATATAACATGGGTAACTGTAGGGGATTTGTTACAATTCGTTTTGCCATGATTTTCAATACTTTATCTATAAGATAATAATAATAATTGTTATTATTATTATTAGGAATAGTTCTACCATAGTAGTGTTAGTAGACGTGGCATAATTACGAATTCTATGAGATTTTCGAATTACATTAACATTATTTTGAAATTACGTGTAACAAGTTTTTTTCTCTCTGCCTACAGTTATTGACTGATATCTTATTCAATTAAAGATTTTGTGAAGTTTATTAAATGAAGAATAATTTTCAATCATTTTTTCAATCATCATCTATAACAATTAACTAAAATTTGAGAAATTAACTTCATATTCTTTGTGACAAATAATCTTAATCAAGTCGTCAGTGAAATAGATATTACCAGTGACAATAAATGATCTTAACAATCAACCACATATTCATTGTATTCGGTTTTGATTTGTGTGAATGCTGGGATACTGCCCGGGTACCCAAACTAAAGCAGGTGGTTTTCCTAGGAGGTCACTGCCTGGAGACTTTGACCTAGAGGTCTTACCCAAAAGGCAGTGGAACAACGTCAGAAGATGCAGCTTCACGGTAGCCGGTGATCAGCGATTGGTTCATACGCCATTTGTTCTTTCAGGAACTAATCAAATAATTTATGTGGCGCATATCTATTTGGTAGCTCCTCGTACCAATGTTTATGTGTTTTAACAATAGAATGAATAAATAAACATTGTATTCGGTGATTCGTGCCATTAAATTCCAACTCAGTGGTTTAAATGGTTAAGGGTTCACTAGTAAGATTTTACTATGTTAACTTCATTTTTTTCCAAGAGACCATGATTGTACGCTCCCAAATAAGAAAGAAAGGGACAAGTAGCCTCCCAGTTTTCAAATAAACTTCAAGTGATGTCACACATTTATAAGTCAAACTAATTTCTACAAAACTTTAATCAGTTAAAATATAGTTTACATCATGAACTGATATCCACCTTAGCTCTGGTGGATAATTAATAAAAAAATACTTGTCAATTGATATATTCATCCTAGTTTACGAATCCTAATAATTTTGAACTCATGACTTTCAAGCCTAATGACAAGCATAATGCTATCAATGATAAACCTTTCAAACTTTATTTCCAATGAAAGATAATAAAAATAAGTCAATAAAGGGTTATGAGGACTAGTTAAAGGCCTCGTGTTTTTGGTAATGATCCAATACAGAGTGGCTGGATGAGCATTATTCTGAGTTTTTAATCTATGATGAAACATCTAAATACTGTTTCCTAATATTCAACGATTTTCCAGCTTAGATCAGTCCTGAAAGTAAAATAATTAAAAGTTTACTTTTCCTCTCTTTTAACACAGTGTTTTTTCTCATTTTCCTTGATTCATATGCAAAAACTTTTAAAATTCTTAAATAGATGGTCGTGTAACCAGAAAGATTTTTGCATAGACATTGTTTGATATAGCATAAAATAAAATGATTTCAAAGAAACATTATTTATTTAACGGACTGATCTTAGCTGAACAATCAGTGAAACTAACTGAAAACACTAGACATTTGTTGCAATTCGGTATACAACTGCACAGGCAATGTTCATCCAAAATTCCACCGAATATCAAACTCAGAAACTCTAGATTTGACAGCGAGCGCCTTACATTTATATTATTGAGTCGGCTCCGATAATTCGAATCCTCACCGTTAGTCATTTTATAATATTGTGAAACCAGTTCTGAATGTTGTCTTTGAGAAATTACATCACATCTGATACAAATGAAATTCACCAATCACGGTTTCTCACTAAAATTCTCGAAATTAACACTTAGTGAGCACATGATTATTATTAATAGTAATAGTATTGGTATGGGAGATTTATAGAGGTTGATGAATTGTATAATTCTCATCATGATCTGATCGAGTTCTATCTTAAATGGGGATGTGAATATATATCATTGTAGAGTTCTATACCATGACGAAACGATCAGTGCACGATGTTGCCAATCACATTCAAAACTGCCTACAAAGCCTACACATTAATGACAATATCGATTAGTCATAATACTTAGGGAGAAAGTTTTTTGATAACTTATTTTAATTCTCTTAATGAAATAGTCGGCCAATGTTGTTACATAACATGTACCGATTTAAAATAGAAAAAAAAACAAAAACAAATAATTATCTTATTAATTATGTATCCATAGGCTATTCCATATATATTTATACTGTTCAATAGAATAAGAGATAGTCGATTAATCAAATTATTATTTATGTGAATTGTAATATACAATTCTTGAAGTAGGTTTTGCTGAGTCGTTTGTATAGTTTGAAGAGGCGAATCAACCAGATTATATTCAACCACCATTTTGTCTCATTACGATGCTCAGTAAAATCAAGATCTTCATGTAGAGGTTTGAACACACTAATCCTCTCTATCTCTCAGTAATCATGATGTATTCCAGTTAAAGATTTCGCTGTTCTACGTCTTCAAGTTTATTTATATTTATAATATGATGATGAGATCTTCATTCAGTGTTATCTCTCGTAGTCAATATTTATGACAGTTAAGTAATATCATTTTAAAATGGTCAAATATATTTTTTAAGAAATGGACAGATTCTTGTATAATCATCTATTGACTAGGTTCGAAACAAATTCCATCAATAGTTTGGCTGGAATATTATTATCTATGGAGTGAGACAATTATAGAGTAGGACACCAAGAAAACAATAATATTGTAAGATCATTTTTACTCTATATTGTTGATTGACTGAAGCCATCACAATCCGATTTACTTGAATTATATTGAGTAGCTACATCGTATTTATTTTAACAGTTACAGCTTCACTGTATTGAATTCCCATTGTAAAGTCATGAGTGTACACTGCTGTTTAGCCCACTACTAAAGATCTCTATAAGATTACATCCAACTAATTAATAAAAGTCAGTAAAGGATTGTGAAGATTGTTGGATTTAGCTATAATCATGTAACAATCATTGCTGCACTTATTGAAATACACCATCAGACCCTTGGCTCAATGATAAAGAAGTTAAGTCTTCGCGTGCAAGATTGAAGGTTCTCAGTTCTATTCACACTTGGGGGGTCACGGACGCTCACTTCTGAGGAGACATCAACAGCAAGAAATTGATGAAGATTATCAGTGATGAAAGTTTGTAGAAGTACTTCGACTAAGGATTTGATCACTGGCATGGTTGAGATTGGATATTTTCATTCAGCAATTTCATAAGCTAGGATGAAACCAATCGACTCAGTGGTTCCCCAACTTTTAAACAATTCTCTAGCTTCATTCAGTCCCTGAAATCAATTGTAAATATGAAGGAGGCTATGATAGAAAAAAAAACTTTTCTGAATGTAAAACAAACAAAAGAAAAATCATTCAAATTCACAGATTATTAACTATCAGATAAAAATAGAATTTTATTTCATGCCTTTCATGAATTGAAACATTGTCTTTTCACTTAAAAAAACAAAACAAAACACAACAAAATTCCAATTCGGTTTTAATTAAACAGAACATAAAGATAAATATATATCGTTCGACAGGATAGAAAGTTGAACAATAAGTGAAGTGAGAAGTGGTTGATGAGGAAGAAGGAAGAAGGATAACAAACAAAGTGTATGAATGATATAGTGATGGAGCGAAAGGGAGAGGGCAAGAGAGAAGATAACTTCACATTAATTAAGTAAAAAAAATTTAAAACTGATTAACAACGAAACAGCAAAGATTGATGATGATGATAATAATAATAATAATAATAATAACATAAAATGGATAGTATGTGGTCAAAATTAACATGATTAGAATGTGGTGTTTTGTCCATTAGACTATCCAATCTATTACAATCATACAAACATGCCGATTTACATACATGGTTAACATAATTCATTTAAACCGTCATCACTAAAGCATTTCATCCTATTGCCTGTCTTACTCTCTAGAGGCAATCACATAAACATTTTATCATAAAATTAAAAATGAAAATTATTTTTTTCTTGGAAATAACAAAAAGTTTTGTTAAGATTCACACCATCTCGTCTAATTGAAAAAAAGAGATTGTCAGTAGTATATATATATATACATATCTCCAATCTCCATAAGCTTTGAATGTGTACATACATGTTGATGGGTAGGTAGGTTGGTAGGTGGTATATTTAATAATAATCAAATAAATTATTTATTGAATAAAGGAAATTGTATTTGAAAATTTTATATTCCAAAAATAATCACATCTCGTATAGTGATAAAGTACATATTAAATATATATAGAAAATATTGATTTGTACTAGTTGTAATTCCCTATTGTTGTCTAGGACTACAATTGATCAATAATATGTTTTGATATATGTGCATTCTATGAGGATTTCCTGAATGTAACTATTAAGTTATAACTATTTAAAGGATGTAAGTTTCGTTTTATTTCGAGTTCACTAGATAGATTCACCTGCTTCTCACAGTTTATATTCACTCTAAGATCCAGTAGTTAAGTGAATAATGCATTGGTGTTTGGAAATAAACGTATATGGTTTAAATTCTAGAGTCCAGGCACGCTTTACTGATAACTTTTAAATAAGACGAAACACAAATCATGATTTTTCAACGTTCTATATAGTGAGTATGTTACAGGGAGCTTTTGAATTTTCTAAATAACTAAACACAATCCATCTTGTGAACTATTGAGTTGTAATTTTTATAATTTGATA